TTTTTTTTTTTTTTTTTTTTTTTTTTTTTTTTTTTTTTTTTTTTTTTTTTTTTTTTTGCAGCTTTGATGAGTTGCGGAAGCAGCTTTTTTTAAAGATCAGCCCCGGCCCACCCTGCGCCGGGGGGGGGTGGGTGGGGAGGGGGCACTACCCCCGTCAGCCCCCCCCTCCCTGCACCCCGAGGGAGGGGTCAGACCCCCGCACCCTCCCTCAGGAGCAGGAGGGTCCCCCCCCCACCCCGCGCCGTGTTTGTGCGTTAAGAGATCCCGGCGCCCCCCGGGGTCCTCCCCCGGGTCGGGGGGGGGCAGGTGGGGACCCCGGGGGGGCCGCAGCCAGCGCGGGGGGGGCCGGGGGTGTAATGCCCACTCGCTGCTTCGCTCTCCGAGGCCGCCCCTGCCTGGCAGGAGGTTCCAGACCGACCCCCCCCCTTACACACACACACTCCTCGGAGATCGGGTTTAAAAAAACCCCCCCCTTTGCCCCTGCACCCCGAATCTCAGCCCAGCAGAGCACAAAGAGCCCCCCCCCCCGTCTAGTATATACAATATAAGGTATAAATAGATAAATAACCTTCCACCCCTGTGCCGTCGGTGCCCACGTGCAGCCCCGGCCGTGGGGGGGCTATGGGTGAGCAGGGGGGGGGCTTCCACCCTGCCCCCTCCAGCCCCCCCAGCCATGGGGGCCACGTGCGAGAAGGGGGGGCTCTCACCCAGCCCCTCAGACCCCCCCCAGAGCTGGGGGAGCGGGTCTGCCCCCCCCCCCATCCCCACCTCACACCTTGGCACCTCCTGGGGAAGAGGGGAGGCAACGAGGAGGGGGTGTCCCCGTGTCCCCCCCTCCAAAGGGTCCCGCCGAGGGGCCTCCTGCAGCCACATCCGAGGAGGAGGATGGGGGGAGCCCGGGGGAGAGAGGGAAAGACCCCCCACCCCCCGCCCGGGTTGGGGTGGTGGTGGTGGGAAGCGGAGGGGGGGAAAGGGGAGGGGGGCTCACATTTAAAAACAACAACAAATAAAAGAAACAAATCTAACACTTAAAATGAGGTAGGTTTGGGTGCAGAAGCTCCTTGTGTCTGTCGGGGTCTTGGCCTCATCCCGCCGCCGCTCCGGGGTCTCGTCCACACGCACAAACAAAAAGAGATCAAAAGGAACCGAGCGAGCTCTGACCGCCCTGGCAGGGGCGGGGCAGAGCCCGGATTGTCGAGCTCAAGGAGTCTGTGTTACCTTGGTAATTAGCGAGCAAATATTATTAGTTTCTAAAAAAAAAAAAAAAACCAAAAAAAAAAAAACCAAAAAAAAAAAAACCAACCAAAAAACCCAAAAGAACCGAAAACAAAATAAAATAAAATAAAATAGAATAAAATAATCGTTATATCCGGGCCGGCTCCGCGCGCTGGGCCCGGCGCTGCTCCCCCGTGGCTCCCCCACGAGGGAGGCTGGCGGGGGGGGGGGGCTGAAGGGGGGGCTTCCGAGCCCCCCACTCCGTTTGTTTGTTTGTTTTTTTCCTCGCAGGACGAAGCAAAGAAAACCCTGAGTTGCCAGTTCGTCCGTCTGTCCGTCCCGCCCGAGCAGGGCCGGCGGCGCCGCGGCCGCTCCTCCCTCCGTGCCCGGCTGCCCCTGGCACCTCCCGCGGCCCCGGGGAGGGGCTTGGCGAGGTCTCCCAGGCGGGGGTGGCGGCCCCCAGCCCCGTTTTTCCCAGCTAGTTCATCCACTTCCTGCAATTCCAGGCTCCACAGTGGCAGGGGATCTTGTGCTGATCGTCCTCGAAGTCGAACTGGTAGTCGTAGGTGAGCTGAGGGGAGGAGTGGGGAGTCACCTACGGCGCAGAGCTCAGTCCTCCCACTTCCAGCCCCCCCCTCCAGCCCCCTCTGCCCCCCCCCGACCCCCCCTCAGGCCCCCACTGACCTCCTCCCCCTTGGGGATGCGCCGGCTGGAGATGATGATGATCTTGTCCTCCTTGTCGAAGGTCACGACTTCGGCCACACAGTTCGGGGCACACGAGTGGTTGATGTACCTAGAGGAGGTGGAAGGTTAGAACCGACCCAGGGGCAGGACAGACGGACACCACGGCTCCCTCCGGGGGGGTCCCACCATCCCAAAGCCCCCCCGTGCTCACCTGGCCGGGCCCCCCGTCAGTGTGGCGTCAATGACGTGCTCGTTGTTGATGCGGAACATGTAGATGCCACGGTTCTGCCACGGGGGACAAGAGGGTGTCAGGGGGTGCACCGAGGTCCCCACATCCCACCTGAGACCCTCATATCCCACCAGAGCCCTCAATATCCCATCTGAGACCACGTCCCACCTGAGCCCCCAACATCCCCTCTGAGCCCCTCCACGTCCCGACTGAGTCACTCCACATCCCACCAGAGCCCCCAACATCCCACCCAGGTCCCCCTACCTCCCGCCAGAGCCTTCAACGTGCCCCCCAAACACCCCCCACATCCCACCAGAGCCCCCAACATCCCACCCAGGTCCCCCTACCTCCCGCCAGAGCCTTCAACGTGCCCCCCAAACACCCCCCACATCCCACCAGAGCCCCCAACATCCCACCCAGGTCCCCCTACCTCCCGCCAGAGCCTTCAACGTGCCCCCCAAACACCCCCCACATCCCACCAGAGCCCCACCTGCTCCTCGTAGATCTTCTCCCGCCGGTTGGCCACCTCGTTGCGGATGATGGTGCCGATGTACTCGATGACCATCGTGTGCTTCTCGATGTCCTTGGCCGCGTAGAGCCCCAGCCCCTGGATGCGGGAGCGCGCCAGGTACACGTTGTTCTTCCACTCCGTCTTCAGGCGCCGGTACTGGGAGGACTTGGAGTGCACGAACTGTTTGCTGTAGGGCGTGTTGGTCTCGCCCGTGAACGTGCTCTGGTAGGCCTTGGACATGCTTGTGCTGTTCAGGGTGTGGGGCCTGCCAAGGGGGGGGGATGAGAGGGGTCAGAGCCGAGGGATCCCCAGGGATCCTGGCTCTCCCAGCAGATCCCAGCTCTCCTGGGGGATCCTGGCTCTCCCAGCAGATCCCAGCTCTCCTGGGGGATCCTGGCTCTCCCAGCAGATCCCAGCTCTCCTGGGGGATCCCGGCTCCCCCAGCAGATCCCAGCTCTCCTGGGGGATCCCGGCTCCCCCAGCAGATCCCAGCTCTCCCAGCAGATCCCAGCTCTCCCCGCAGATCCCAGCTCTCCCCGCAGATCCCGGCTCTCCCAACAGATCCCAGCTCTCCTGGGGGATCCCAGCTCTCCCAGCAGATCCCAGCTGTCCCGGGGGATCCCAGCCCCGCTTACCTCTTGTAATGGGTGAGGATCTTGGGCTCGGAGCGGGCGCAGCCGGTGGGGTTGATCATCAGTGGCAGCTCCATCAGGGGATGGCGCCCGTAGCGGAACAGGTAGTTCTGGCAGCTCTCAACACCCGGCAGCTGCCGAGGGGACACAGAAGGGCCGGGGGTCGAGTGGCAGCACCAGGGTGGCCACCAGACCCTTCCCCAGCAGGGCTGACCTCCAGTATGGAGGGGAGACCCCCGTCCTCCCCCGGACCTACCGACTCGGCGATGCGCAGCACCGCGTGCACCGTGAGGCCGAAGAGCTCCTCGCCCTTCAGGTACTCAGGGAAGAGCCGCAGCATGTCGGCCTCCTTCCTCATCATCGCCACCGGCTCGATGATCCGGTTCCAGACGGCTGCCGAGGGAAGGGAGAACCACAGAATCCCAGCATTAATCAGGTTGGAAGAGACCTCTGAGATCATCAAGCCCGACTTTTGACTGATCACCCACCTCGCCAACCAGACCAGAGCACCCATTGGGGACCCCCCAGCTCAAGTCACCTCCCATCACCCCATCCCCTGTTGCGTTCCGGTGCGGCTCAACCGCTGGGACAGGCAATGAACGCCGGCACTAGTCCAGCACCGGCATCTCCCAACTCCTCACCTTGTGGTGAGGAGTCAGAGAAGACGAGATCCTCCAGGCCCTGCTCGATGACCTGCACGACGAACTCGGGGCGCCCGTTGTTCTCGCAGATGGTGCAGCGGTAGCAGCAGCGGCGGTTGTTGGTCCGCAGGCTCCAGTAGATGCGCGTGGCCTCGTAGCCCACGGGGTAGAGCGCGGTGACGCTGTGGAAATCGGCCATCTGGTGGGGCAGCAGCTGCCCGATGGCGTGGAAGACCAGCCCGCCCACGCGGAACATGTGGAGCCGCTCCCCGCGCTGGATGATGCTGGCGATCTGCTTCACCTCGTCCCGCTCGATGTACACGCGGCGGAACACGGTGAAGCTGCTGAGCTCCTGCTCGCAGGGCCCCTTCAGCTTGTGCAGGGGGCACAGCATGGTCTTGTCCTTGAAGAACATGCACTTAGCGCGGATGGCGCAGGCGAAGTGGTACACGCTGGGGCAGCGGATGCGGTTGCAGCTGTTGGTGGCGCCGGTTTTCTGGCACAGGGAGCACTTGGTGAGCAGCCCGCGGTGCAGGGCCACCTCCACGTTGATCAGGGCCCCGCCCTGCGTCTCGTACACCTCCGTGGACCACAGGGCGCAGTTCAGGTGGACCCAGAGGTCGAGGTCGAGGTTGAGCAGGCGGGCCGGCCCGTCCGTGGCCCCGTCGCCCTCCTCGTGGCAGAAGCAGCACTTGCGCAGGTCCCGCGGCACCTTCTCGGGGCGCAGGGTGGTGCCCAGCTTGTCGATGAACTCGGCGATCTCCTTGTCGCCGTCGCGCTTGGCCCCCCCTTTCTGGATGGTGACGAGGAAGCGCAGCCGTTTCCAGCGCACCCCCTTCCACTTCTTCAGCCGCGGCCGCGCCTCGTCCCCGTCCTCGGGCGGCCGCGAGCGCGGCTTGAAACGGGGCGGCGAGTGGGGGGCTGCGGCCCCTTCCTCCTGGGGGGCCGGGGAGGGGGCCGGCAGCAGCGGCGACGCCGGGGCGGCCTCGTGGGCCACCTCGGGGTTGGGGACCCTGGTGGGCTCGGCAGGGCTGGACGGGGAGGGGACGGAGGGGGACAGCGGGGGCGAGGGCTCCTGGGGCATGACGGAGAGCTGCCGCACGTCCAGGTTGGACACGTTGTTGACGTAGCAGTGGTGAAGGGTCTTCTCAGGTGCGGGGCTCTCCTGTGGAATGGGGAGGGGGTCATGGGTCAGGGTGTTGCAAAGAGCGGTCTTTGGACCTGCAGGGACCCCAGAGCACCTCACGTGCTCCCAGCCCTAGAAGGATCACCTGCATCCCTTCCTGGGAGACTCAGCACCTCTCCATGAGGAGACCCAGCCACCCAGGAATCACAGCCCCCTGCAATCGTGGGGGGACCTACAAGGACCACCTCACACCTCTACATGGTTAACACCTGGTTCCAAAGAGCCCCCCTCCACTCCTGCACCCCAACACAGCCACAGCCCTGCAGGTACCCCAATACGCCTCTCTCAGTGTCCCAGTGGACCCCCGCAGCCACTGACCTGTCTGAGCAGTGTCAGGAGGTCCAGCTCGCCCTTGAGGCTGTACCCAGGCAGCACCGCGTCGAACTGCTTCAGCCACTCGGAGCTGCTGTCTGGCACCTTCCCAGCCAGCGCCTTCTCCTTCCCTCCGAGCATCCCTGGAAGAGGGAGGCACAGCCCATCACGGGGGGTGGTCCCAGCCTGGGGCTGCGGGGGGCCCACAGGGACAAGGAGGACACTCACCAGCCATATCAGCCTCCACCTTCTTGGCCTCGACCACGGCCACTCGCACGGGGCCGTCGGGGAACAGCACCTCGTAGGAGCTGGGGATCTTCACACTCAGCAGCTCAGCCATGGCCACCATCACCCCATTGAGGTTCTGGGATAGAGAAGGATGGGATGGGTGCAGGGTGCCCCAGATGCCACCATGTGGGGCCACCGCCAGGACCCCAGAGCGTCTCACGTCCCCCCATCCCCTCGCTCACCTTGGCAGCCGCCGCGGACACTGTCAGCATGACAGAGACCTCGCTGCTCTTGCCCTTCTCCCACGGGGCTCCGGGGCCTGCTGCCCCCACCTTCCCTGGGGGGGCCCCAAAGGGCTCTGCGGCCTCGTAGGGTTTCGTGTCAGGGAACACTGGTGTGGGGAGAGGGAGGGGTCAGAGCTGCACAGACACCCCAACAGCCACCTCTGACCCCACCCAGCTGCCCCAGACCCCTGCAGGGAATCCATCCCCCCCAGACCCATTTCCCTCAGCCCACACACCGCAGGGACCCATCCCCTGCTCTGCAAAATCCCAGGAACCCCCTCCTGCCCCACCCACATCCCTTCCTACCCAACATATGCCCTCCAGACCCCCTTCCCTGCACTGTACATCCCACTGAACCCCTCCTGCTCGGTCCATACGGACCACAGACCACTCCTGCCCTGGTCCATGCACCATCCCCAGCCCATTCCACCTGGGATACTGGCCCGGGGGATGATGGGGATGATGGGAGACAGCACACGCTCCTCCAGCTCCGGCTTGGCCTCGCTGAGCAGCGGGAATCGCAGCAGCTCCTCGCCCAGGACGCTCTCGGGGGACGAGGCAGGGACGATGCTGTCAGGGGAGTCGCTCTCGTCGTCGCTCTCCATCCTGAAGGGAAGGAGGTGTCAGGGGCCACGGGCTGCTGTGACCCCAGGGGGGGCTGGTGTCACTCACGGAAGGTCACCCTGGCCGGGGTCTCACCTGACGTCCTCGGTCTGGTTGTGTGGCGGGGTGGGCAGAGCTGCCAGCAGGTCCAGGCTCTTCACCTCCACAGCCGGTGCGTCTGTGCGGAAGGGACGGGTGTCACGGGAGGGTGACAGGCGGTGGCAGGGACTCTGTGCCACCCCTGTGCCAGCCAGGCTTACCTTTCTGGCCGTGGGGCTCGCGGGCTGGGTCGGTGTCCTTGGGCTGCTCACCCAGTTCCTCGGGGGCCGTGACACCGTTCACCATCTTCTGCTGCACGGAGGGAGGGGGTGTGGGGGGCAGCGAGGAGGGCGGCGTGGGCGGGTTGCTGAGGTTGTTCTGGGGGGAGACAGGGGGGTGAGTGCGGCAGGGTGGTCCAGGACCCCTGGATTGAGGGGACAACAGGTGAAGAACCCCTTCCCTCACCTTGGTGAGCAGCTGGGAGTAGTAGTCAGGGACGCTGTCGAGCACGGCGCTGCCGAAGGCGCCCCGCAGTTGGCTCTTCCCGTTGATGGGGCTGCTGCCGAAGGGCGCAAAGAGGCTGAAGTTGGCTGTGATGGTCGGCTCCGTCAGCGGCAGCAGCGACAGCTCCTGGGGGCAGAGTGGTGAGGTGGTGAGGGGGGCACAGGGGCAGAAAGGGAGCCCCCACCACCCCCCAGCCCACTGCCATACCTGCTTCAGCTGCCTCATGAGGGCCTCGCCAGGACGCAGCCCCTCATCCTTCCGCAGCTTCTTGCGGGAAGCCGGGATCCGCTCGTTGCCTTTCTGCACCCGCTTGGGCTTGGTGGGCGCCGGCTTCCTGGCGATGGAGGGGTCCTGGGGAGGGAGAGGGGGGTGTGAGCTGTGCTGGCACAGCCCCGTGCCCATCGCCCCCCAGCCTGACCTGCCCCACTCACCTCCCGGCCCAGCAGCAGCGGCTGTGGCCGCGGCTCCATCCCGGCGCTCCGGCTCTCCGTGTGCCCATTGAGCTCGCCCGGGCTCTGTGCTGAGAGCTGCACGTTCTTGGCCCGCAGCAGCTTCTGCAGCAGCAGGTGCCCGGCCTCAGAGCGCCCGCCCGGGGCCAGCAGGCTGTTGGCTTGGCCGGCCCCAGGGTCCCCGTTGGCCTCCGGTTTTGCCGTCTCGTCTCCGTCCAGCTCACACTGCGCCGCTGCTGCCGCCTCCTCCTTCGGCTCCTGCTTCACCAACACCTGGGGGCCTTCGCCTGCCACAGGGGCCCCCTCTGGCACTGCCCCATTGATGTGGATCTCGCTGGGGTCGGCTGGGTCCACCCCGGGCGCCTCGGGGTCCCAGGGGCCACGTGCTGGGTCAGGGAGGGCAGCGCTCGGCGTGGGCGTCAGCCCCGGCTCTGTGGGCACTGCAGGGCTGGGGGTCGAGGCCGGGACCCCCGGTGACGTCTTCTTTGGCTCTTGGGGGCTCTGCTCGGGGCTGGCCACGTGCTGGGGGGCACAGCCCAGGGGCGAGGGGGCCGGTGGAGTGGGGAGGCGGACAAGGCCGGGCTGGGGGCCGCGGGCAGCCAGGGCTGCCTGCACCAGCTCTGCCAGGGGCTGCTGGGGGGGCTGCTGAGGGGGCTGCCCTGGCAGCGCCCGCCCCGGCTCGGCAGCAAAGCTGGTCTGTGCCTCTGCCGGGGTGCCCGGCCGGGGCTGGAAGAGGGACCCCATGGGGCGAGGGGGCTGGCGGGCGGCGGGCGAGCCGTAGTCCGGGGCCTGCCCGGGGAAGGGGCCGGGGGTCCGGAGTGCCTGGCTCTGCTGCAGGAGGCTCTGCTGGTGCCGCTGCACCAGGAGGGCCTGGAGCTGCTGCTGCTGCTGCGGCGTCAGGTGCCGCAGCTGCGGGTTCTTGGCCAGGACACCCTGGAGCTGCGCCCGGATCTGGCCCATCACCGGCCCCGGCACCTGCCCCAGGAGCGCCGGGGGGAGCGTGGCCGTGCCCGGTGCCGGCCCTGCTTTGTGCTGCCCGGGGCTCTGGAGCCGCGGGGGCTGGGGCTGCCCCTGCAGGGTCCCTGCCGGCCCCTTGCCCGGCTGCTCCGGGGGCCGCGGTGCCGGCACCATGCCCGGTGCCGGGCCCGTCCCGCAGCCCAGCGGCGGCTCCGCCACCCCGGCCGTGTCCCCGTGCTGCTGGGACAGCTCGGGGTGGGCGGCCCCGGGGCTCTGCAGCGGCGGGGCGAGCAGGGTACCCTGCTGCCCAGGGGCTGCCCGCAGCATTCCCGGCTGTGGGGAGGCCAAGAGGAGCTGCTGGCCCTGCCCCAGCTCAGCCTGGTGCTTGGGGGCCACGGTCTCCGGGCCCCCCAGCCCTTGGGGGTTGAGGGGTCCCTGCTGCTCCCCGTGCAGCTGCCCCCCGCTCTCGCCGCCCTCGGCGGGCAGGGCGCTGCCATCCACCCCCGTGGGCTGGTCCTTGGCAGCCAGGACCGCCGGGGCCGGCTGCATTCCCTGACTCAGGTGCAGCACAGAGGGGGCCTGGCCCCCCGCCCCGTGCTGCGGAAAGTGCTGGATCGAGGCCTGCCCCTGGCCCAGCCCCAGGAGGCCCGGCTGGGCCGAGTTCTGCTGCTGCTGCTGCTGCTGCTGCTGCTGCGGGGTCAGCAGTGCCCGCGACTGTCCCAGCTGCTGGGACAGCACGAGCCGGTGGCTCAGCATCCCCGGAGTCTGCGGTGCCAGCTGGGGCGAGCCCAGCACCCGCTGCTGGTGGGGGGCCAGGAGCACCTGGCGCTGGGGCTGGGGGTGGCCCAGCATGGGCTGGTGCTGCAGCCCCGGTGCCGGCGCGTGGCCCAGCACGCCCGGCTGCTGCTGGGGCGAGAGCTGCTGCACCAGCAGGCTCTGCTGGCTGCCCAGCAGCCCCCCGGCCTTCGGCACCATGGGCTGAGCCCCCGCGCCGGGCTGTGGGGTCGGGGGCTGCTGCTGCTGCCCCAGCAGGCCGGGCTGCCCCGCCACGGCCGTTGGCTGCATGGGGGCCTGGCCCAGTGCCCCCGGCTGCTGCAGGGACGCCTGGCTCATCATGCCCGGTTGCTGCATCGACGTCTGCGCCATCACACCTGCCTGTTGCATTGAAGCTTGTCCCATCATGCCTGGCTGCTGCATGGACGTCTGGGCCATGATGCTCTGTGGCTGCATCGAGCTCTGTCCCATCACACCCTGCTGCTGCATGGACGCCTGGCCCATCATGCCCTGTTGCTGCATCGACGTCTGTCCCATCACACCCGGCTGCTGCATGGCTGCCTGGGCCAGCACGCCCTGTTGCTGCATGGATGCCTGTCCCATCACACCGGGCTGCTGCAGCGATGCCTGTCCCATCACACCGGGCTGCTGCATGGAGGCTTGACCCATCACGCCCTGTTGCTGCATCGATGCTTGTGCCATGACACCTGATTGCTGCAGTGACGTCTGTCCCATCACACCTGATTGCTGCATTGATGCCTGTCCCATCACACCTGATTGCTGCATGGACGCCTGTCCCATCACTCCTGGCTGCTGCATGGGGGTCTGTCCCATCACACCCTGTTGCTGCATGGGCACTTGTCCCATCACCCCCGGCTGCTGCAGCGACACCTGTCCCATCACACCTGGTTGCTGCATGGAGCTCTGTCCCATCACACCCGGCTGCTGCTGCTGCTGCTGTGGCAGTGACACCTGTCCCAGCATGTTCTGCTGCTGCAGCTTCTGCGCCAGCTGCATCCTCTGGAGCTGCCGCTCCTGCATCAGGCGGCTGTCGGCGGCCAGCCCGCGCAGCGCGGGGTTCCCGGCGAAGAAGGCGCTGGAGGAGCCGGGTCCCGGGGCGTTCCCCATGGCCTGCTGCCCCATGAAGGACAGGCCCTGCTGCACGGCCATGGACACACCGCCCTGGGACAGGCGCAGCCCCCCGGGCTGCCCCGGCTGCTGCCCGAGGCCCTGCGCTCCCACCACGGCCCCCCCGGGCTGCTGCACCCCGTGTGCCGAGAGGAGCTGCCCCGGGAGCTTGGACATGAGGCGGGGGCTCTGCGAGGGGCTCAGGGCCATCACGGCCGAGGCCTGGTGCTGGTGCTGCTGCTGCTTGTTGCGGTACTCGGCCATGAGGTTGGTGTGTTCCTTCTGCTGCTTCCGCACCTGCCGGGGACAGCGGGGCATCAGCACCGGGAACGGTGGGGTGTTAGTGCCGGGGATGGCACGGCATTACTGCTGGGGACAGGGGAACGTTAGCACCAGGAATGGCACGGTGTTAGTGCCCGGGACAGCAAGGAGTTAGTGCCAAGAACAGCATGCCACCTGTGGCCAGGAATGGCACATTAGCACTGAGGACATCACGTTTGCACTGGGGATGGCACAGGGTGCCAGGGACATAGCGTTTGCACCGAGGACGAGGCTCCCACCCACATGCAGGGCCCTACCTGGTCCAGCTGCTTCTGGATCTTACTCTGCTGCTCCGTCACCAGCTTCAGCTTCTCGGCGTCGGCCTCGGGGAACTCCCTGCCGGCCTTCTTGGCCGTGCGCTGCTTGGCACAGAGCGCCTTGCGGGACTTGCGGTGAGCCCCGATCTGCTCCTCCAGCACCTTCAGCTGCATCTGCAGCAGCTGCTGCGTGTGGAACAGCCACTCCTCGTACTGCCGCTGGTCAGCCTCGTCTGTGGAGTGGGGAGAGGGCTCATCAGCAGGGATCTCGGGTCAGCAGGGACTCGGGGTGAGCGGGGACCCGGCTCCCAGGGGCAGGGTGAGCTCACCACCCCAGGCCCCCCCGTACTCACTGATGACGCCCTGTGCGAAGGTGGGTGGGTTGGGCCGAGCCTGGGTTGGGTCTGTGCCGCTTCGCTCCTGCCAGAGAGAGGAATGTTGGGGACATGTGCCTCCCTGTGCCCTCCCCACAGGCCTCACCTCCCCAGGGAGACATAAACCCACCGGCCAGAGAGGCTCCAGCCTGGCAGGGTGCTGAGCACCAAGCCAGGCAGACATAAGAGACCTCTGTACTCCCCACCCCAGATACCCCACTCACCTGCCCACTCCCTGCCAGCAAGTGGTTCTGCATCTCAGAGACTGCTGGGCCCCCTGAGAGCCGCTGGGCCAGCAGGGAAACCTGTTGCCTTTGGAGGGAGACACAGAGATGGGGGTCAGCTGGAGCCAAGGCACTCTGCCCATCCCTGCCCGTGCCCCACAACCTTTGTGCCCCTTACCTGTTCATGCCTGGGGCCACCCCGATGCTGCCCTGAGCCATCACCTTCTTGATGCCCTTCAGTGCCACCATCTTGGCCTTGGCAATGGGGTCCATGATGTCCTCAGCCGCAAACTTGTCCAGGTCTGCCGCGAGACAGGTCACAACACGCTCAGCCCTACACACTCCACCCAAAACAGCCCCACGCTCCCCCAGACCACCACCCACAGGTCCTACCTGTGTCTGGGAAGAAGCTGTTGGCCAACTGCTGCTGCATGACGAGCTGGGGGGGCTTCAGGCCCAGGGTGGGGGGCTGCACCCCGGCCATCGGCTTCTGCACCAGCACCTGCTGCTGGCTCTGCTGCGGCTGCCCCAGGGCCACCTGCACCCCATGTGGGGATGCCAGCACGTGGGGCTGCCCCGAGGCCATGCCCATGTGGGGGGCCAGCGCCGGGCCCTGCTGGGGTGCACCGAGCCGGGGGGGCTGCGGTGGCATCAGTGGCGGCCGGGCCACCAGCCCCAGCTGGAGGGGGGTCTGAGGGGCGCCCAGGCGGGGCGGCTGCCCCTCGGGGGGCTGCCCAGCCGCCCCCGTGTGCAGCATGGGGTGCCCTGGGGCCGGGAGGTGGGGGGTGCTGCGGGGCAGGTGGGCCGACATCTGCTGCTTCTTCTGCAGCTCCTTCTTCTCGTGCTCCAGCAGGTCCTCGATGAGCAGCGGCAGCTCACTGGCCACCAGCGAACTCTCCATCTTGTCCAGGTCATCCGCCGGCGAGTGCCGGGCGCTGCCCAGCCCCAGCGCTCCGCTGTCCAGCTCAAACTTCTCCAGCAAGGGGTTGCTCTGGCTGCCAAGCTGGGCAGGGGCCAGCCCACGGCCGGGGGCAGTGTAGGGGTCCTTGTCCGGCACGGGGACACCGGCGTGGCCGCTGTTGGGGAACTGAGTCAGGCCGAGGCGAGCGGGGCCGGTGCTGGGGCTCAGGAGGGTCTGGCCGGGTTTGAGGCTCAGCCCCAGCGAGGCAGAGATTTTGTCGGTGCCCTGCAGCCCCTCCGACTTGACGGGCACCGGGAGCCGCTCGGGGCCAGTGAACTGGCAGGGCGAGGTCTTCAGGCAACCATCCTCCAGCTTGGGCTTCACCTCGGTGGGCAGCGAGCCGGGCTTTGCCTCCGCACCCTGCGCCTTGAAAGCCGGGTCAGGGGCCAGCACGGCGCCCGTGGGGCAGGCAGAGGGTCCCAAGCTCGCACTGGGCACCAGCCCTTCCTTGGGCACCTCCTGGTTCTCCGCAGATGGGGTCACATCTTTGCTGTCCCCGGGGTCGGGGAGCTTCAAGGTGGGCGGTGGCGGCTCCGTCTTGAGCTGGGCCTCGCGCTCGGCTTTCTCGTTGGCCGACTCGACCAGGCGCAGGTGCTCGTTGAAGATGTCCTTCTTGTCCCCGGTGTCCAGCTCGGGGTCGGTGTAGGCCAGCAGGTCGAACTCGTCACCGTTCAGCAGGTCGTCGAGGTGGGGGTCTGCTGTCTCCAGGCTGTCCAGGTTGTCCAAATCATCGTCCCCCTTGGCCACGTCCGGATCCAGGCTCAGGTTGGCCAAATCATCGTCATCTTCCAAGTCCTTGTGGGAGCCGAAGTCGTCATCCAAATCGGGCTCCACGGGCACCTCGCAGGGCAGCCGTGCCCCCTCCAGGCTCAGGTGGCTCTTCCCTGGGGCCGGTGCCGGGTCTGGAGCGGGGCCATCCTTGGGACCCTCGGGGCGCAGGGCAGTGCCCGAGGACAGCGGGCGGGGGGGGACGTGCTGCAGCTCCAGGGTGGGGGCCGGCAGTGGCGGGGGGGCCACCTTGGCGTGGGGCTGCTGGTGGCTGTTGCCCATCTCTGCTCCCTGCGGGGACGCGGGCGGGAGCGGCGCCGGAACCTTCTGGGGTGGCAGCGCCTGCATGGGCACGACGGGGGTGCAGAGGGCCTGGGCGGTGCCCTCCTCCCCGGGCAGGAAGAAGCGAGGCCGGGGCGCCTGGGGGGCAAAGGGGGACCCCACGACCCCCCCGGGTCCCTTCTGCACGTTGTGTCGCAGCTCGATGAAGGGAGCGCCCAGGGTGGTGGACAAGGGGGGCACGGCCTCGGCGGGGGCTGGCAGGCGGGTGCCCAGGCTGCCCATGGGGGTCCCGGCAGCCGGGGGGGCGAAGCGGGAGGTCACGGGAAGCCGCAGGGCCGCCACGGCCGCCTGTTGCTGCTGTTGCTGCCAGAGGTGCTGCTGCTGCTGCGGGGATGGTGCTGGGAAGACCCCGCGGGGGTAGAAGGCCTGGGGGGGCCCCACTGTCGCCCTGGAAGACACCGTGATGTTGGTACCGGCTCGGCACGGCCACAGCCCCGATGCACCAAGTCCCACCTCCCTTGGACCGCTCCAGTCACCCAAGAATTCACTGCCACTCTGGGGCGCTCCCCACAAACTGGGGACACACACCCCACCAGGGTGATCCCTGCTGGCTCCCACCCTGCCGCACTGGGCCCACCACCCTGTCACGGGGCACCCACCGCCCGTTGATGTCCAGTGTGGCCGGGGTGGCCGCTGGTGGGGGCCGGGAGAGCCGCTCGTCCTGGGGAAACGCCGCCTGCACCATGACGGAGCCGGGCAGCTTCCCGGCGCCAGCTGCTGTGGCCAAGGTCCCGAGGAGTCCCTTGTCCTGGAAGGAAGGAATGAGACGGTGTCACCCCTCCACCAGTCGTGTCACCCCCCTGCACACGCCCTGACCCGGCTCTCCCACCTGTGCTGGCTGGTAGGGGGCCATGCCCCGGCTCAGCTCGAAGCCCTGCCCGGCGGCCTCGGGGGCCCAGGCGGCGGGCGAGGAGGTGGCGGCAGCGGCTGCACTCTCCTTCTCCTGCCGCAGGCTGTTCCGCTGGATCTGCTGCCGGATAAGCAGCTCCCGGAGCCGCTGGCGCTGGGAGAACCAAGTGTTAGAGCCGAGAGCGGAAATAGGAGTGAAACCAGCAAGACCCAGGTGGCCTTCAATGCCTCCACAGGTCCCAGCTCCTCCCTCACGTCCCCTTCCAAACCCGGATGGACGCGGTGGGATCACCAGCGAGCCCTCACCTGCCGCTGCTTCTCCAGCTCCGACTGGCTCATGGTGCCGAGGGCCCCATCCTGGCCGCCGGGCAGCTCCGCCAGGTCCCGGTTCGGGGGCACCGAGAGCCCCACGGCTGCCTCCTCCCTCTTGTCGGCCGTCGGTCCCAGCGCAGCGCGGGGCAGGAAGGCTCCGGAAGGGTCCTGCTGCTGCGGGGGGGCCGGGGGCTGCGGCGGCAGCACTGATGGGGGCCGCAGGGGCGAGAGGTTGTAGGTGTCGGGGGCAGCCGTGCCCGGGCCCAGGGGGCTGCCGGCCTGGTGGAAGCCGGGGGACGAGGCATAGGCCGAGCTCTGGGGCTTGCCAGAGCCGTAATGGCTGTTGATCCCATGGGGCTGGTGGGACGGGGAGCCCTTGAGCGGCTCCGAGACGGCCGGGGGGAAGGTGAAGCGCATGGGGGTCTGGCTGCCCGGGAAGACGCTGGCGCCGGGGGAGCGAGAGAAGGGCGGCTGCGGCCCCGCCGGTGCCTTGGCATGGGGCTCACCCGCTGGGGCACCCCCAAAACCCCCGCCAGGCTTGAACCCCGGCTCCGGCATCTGCGGCCGGGGGGGTTTGTGCAGGGGGGTGAAGGGGTCCCGGGATTGGGGCCGGGAGGGCGGCTGGGAGTAGGGATCGGGGGACTGGAAGCGGGGGGTGACGGGGGACTGGCAGAAGGCTTCGTTGGAGAGCGGGCGGGGGGTGAGGGGTGACTGGGAGCTGGACTGGGACTGGGGGCTGGCGGGGACGCGGGAGAAGGGCTCGGAGGGCAGGGAGCGGGGCGGGAGGGCACAGCAGGCCTCGGGGGGCTGCAGCCGGGGCGTCAGCGGGGGCTGCGAGTAGGGGTCCAGGTAGGGGGACTGGCGGTAGAGATCGGGGTGGCCGGGGGGCGAGGGGGCCAAGGGGTGGGGGTCGGGGGGCCGGTGCCCCAGCCCCGGGCTCTGCGGCTCTACCTGAGAGACCCGTGGGGTCATGGGGGCTTTGAAGACGTCGGCCGCCTTCAGCTCCGCAGCCGAGAGGTGGGGGCCGCCCGGGGAGTCCCCGTAGCCCATGGCGGAGGCATAGCCGGGTGAGCAGACCCCCAGGCTCCCCCCTTCCTCCTTCTTCACCTCCAGACCCTTCTTCTGCTCCCCGAAAGGCAAGGGAGAGAGCAGGGCCTCGGGGGGCCGCGCCCCGGGGCTCCCCGGCATCGAGAGGTTGTCCAAGGAGGGGCAGCGGGGCTTCAGGAAAGGGTCTGGGGTGCCGGGCTGGTGCCGGGGGGTTCCGGGGGGCGTGGGGTGGAAGTCGGGAGGGGCACGGGGGGCAGTGAGGGGCTGGGGCTGGCCAGGGAAGGGCTGGAAGGCAGCGCCCGCCGTGGGGCTCTGGCCCAGGGGCGAGGGGAAGCGGGGCTCCAACGCGTAGGCGCCGTAGGGGTCGTGCGAAGGCACTTGGGCGGGGGACTGGGGCGGGAGCTTGAGGAAAAGCTCGCTGGGAGACTCCGGCCCCGCTCCGGCACCCGCCGGGGGCTTCAGGAAGCCCTCTCCGGCGGCGGGGGGGCTGCTGATGTAGACGGGTTGTGCCCCCGGCGGCACCGGGATCCGCAGGTGCAGCGAGGGCCTCTCCGGCTTGCGCAGTCCCTCCCCTTTGGTCTGCTTGTTGATCTGGCTCTCGGCCTGCTGCGGAGAGAGCCGGCCCGTCAGGGCTGCGGGACCCCCTCCTGCCCTCCCTGCGGGCCGGACACGGGGCTGGGGTGGGCACACCACGTCCCCCCAGAGCTGGGCCGGGGCCGCCGGGCACCTCCCCGCGCCGGACGTACCTTCTGCACCTTGTTGATGCGATGAGCCGCCCGGTTATCTTTGGCCTTTTGCTAACAAAGACACGAAGCCAGCTGACTCGCAGCCCCCGGCGCCCCGGCCCCCCACCCCGCTGACCCCCCGGCACTCACCAAATACGGGGCTTTGTCCGTGGCAGGGACCTTCCTCCAGAGCTTCATGATCTGCTTGCAGCGGCTCGACCAGTCTGGGAGTCCGGTACGAGCAGATGGAGGGGACAAAAACAACCTTAGCCCGGACCTGACGAGCCCACCCACACCCTGGGTGGGTGACATTGTCCCCTCTCGCGTGGGGACAGCCTCATGCCCAGGAGCTGCAGGAAACACTTCAGTGCCAGAGCAGCTGGGATCTCCCCTCCAAACATGGATCAGAGGGGGTCACGCTGCACCCAGACCCTCCACCCTCACCCCAAAAAGGCGGTTGCAGCCCCCCCCCAGAGCCACAGCCCCCCCAGAGCCCTACCTGGATAATCCTGCTTGAGATTGGGGAAGTTCATGTTGGCGTAGAGGACGGGGGAGATGGTGGAGAGCTCGCCCAGCTCCTCGTCCTTCTCCCAGCGCTGGAGGCTGCGCTGGTTGTAGGACAGGCCATCGCCCTCCCCCTCTGTCGTGGGCGTTGTGGGGGTCGAGGGGGTGGTGGCAGCCGAGCTGCTGGCCCAGGGGCTCTCGGGCTCGCAGTGGTCTGGGCTGAAGAAGCCGCTCCGCTCCCTGCGTGGAGGGGAGAGTGTCAAGGATCGTCAGGGTGTGAGGGAAGAAGGTGTCCCACAACACCCCAGGCTTCAATCCCTCCAAGGAGACCACCCCCAGCTCCCCCACGTACCTGCTATCGAGGAACGGGGACGGGCAGACCCCCGAATACGAGTCCAAGGAGACGGATCCGGAGAGTGAGCCCAGGGAAACGCTCCCTGAGAGGGAAAGGAGACAGGTTGGAGGGAGGGCAGGGTTGGGGCTCAAGCCTGTGCCTGCCCTGAGGGTCCCAGCAGCCCCCAGAAAATACAGCATCCCCCAAAACGCCTCCCACGTTCACCCCCAGAGCAACTGGGAACAGGCAGGAGCCCTGGCTCTCTGGTACCACAGGCACTGTGCTGCTCTCTGAGCAGCTCAACCCCACCACTTTGGCTTTCTGGGGGGTTGGCAGCGAGTCCTGCCCTTCTCCCCACCATCCAGGCCCTCCCAGCCCACGGTGGCCCTGCCAGTTCCACCCACCCTGCCCCGAGAGCTGGAGGTCTCCTTGCAGGAAGGGGCGCTGTGCCCGGCCGGGGTCCTGCCCGGCCTCCATCCCCCCGGCCACGCAGTTGAGGGGCTGCTCCCCCCGCTCCGCCGAGCCCAGCACGTCCTTGAAGAGCTGCTGCACGTCTTTGCTCTCCATCTTGGGCAGCTCTGCAGGGGCAAAGGCAAAAAAGGCTGAGCCATCCCAGGTGCAAAACCCACACTGGTGGGAAGCAGAGGAGAAATCTGGGGGTCCTGGCCCCGGGACCGCCCTCACTTCAGTGGATGAGGGTGGTCTCACCTTCCGTGGGGATCTTGTCGAGGTCAGAGCTCAGCGCTCCCTCGCCCGGGGTGGCCGGTTTCTCGGTGTCCCCAGGGTCTGGGGAATCCTTTGGCTCATCGGCCCCTGCGAGGAGGAATCAGGAGGTGTCTTCAGCCCCAGGCTCAGGGTTGGAGACCCCCATGTGAACCCATCGCCCCCCGATCCCAAAAAGGGACAGGAGTCCCTCGGTCCTCCAAGGACCCCGAGCCACGCGGGGGCGCTCTAGGCGCCACTCTATGGTCACCAGCGCCATGGGAATCACATGGGCGGAACCATAGAGTTCAGCCCTGCCTAGAGCGGATCCCCTCAACCATAGAGTTCCGTCTCGATGGTTGTGGGCGCTCCAGCCCCCGGGGGAGGACTCCGCTGCTGGGGGGTCCCGCGGGGGTCCCAGGGGCTAACCCAGGTCCTCGGCCTTCGCATCGTCCTTGCCATCGTCGTCGGGAGCGGCGGCGCTGCCATCGGTGCTGTCATCCCCTGCAGGGCACCAGGACTCATTGGGGGGGGCAGGACCCCCCAGCCTCCCCAGGGTCACCCCTGGATCCCCCGAGGTCACCCCTGAATCCCAGAGACCTCCTACACCCCTCGATGTCAACCCCCCACAGTCCACGGCATCCTCGAACAAGCCCCAGTGTCTACAGCAGGTCCTCACAATGGGGGTCTCCCCCAACCACCCCCAACAATCCTCAGGACCCAAAAAATCCCCAACCACCCCAAAACAACACCAGGGATCCCCAACAGCACCAATGACTCCCAATAACTCCCAAAAGCCCCAGAGACCACCAACAATCTCAATGACCCCCAAAAACCCCAAGGACCCTCAAAAACCCCCAACCACCTCAGGGACCACCAAAAAACCCTGAAAGCCCCCAAAAACCCCAGGACCCCCTATGACCCTCAACAACATCCAGCGTCCTCGCTCCTGGCCTCACTCACCTCGGGGGTGGGTGGGGGTCTCCCTCCTGTCCGGGGGGGCTCCCTGCAGTGCCCCAGCCAGGTTGGGGTCCCCCTTGGGCCTTGGGGCGCCCTGGCCCAGGGAGGGGCGGGCGGTCCCGTCCCCCACCCCGCCCGCTGCCAGCAGCGCCTTCCGGCTCAGGTCCATCAGCGCCTTCCCGAAAAACGCCTCCTGGAGCAGAGAGGTTCTGTCAGCATCAGGGGGGCCCCTCTGTCCACCCCCCGCACCCCCAGGCCACCTCAACCCCCTCCATCCACCCCACCTGCAGGTACGGGGGGAACATGTCCTCCAACTTGCTTTTCTTCCGTCCCCGGCGTTTCTTCTTCTCGTCCCCCTCTCCCGAACCCGGATCCAGGCCAGCCTCGGCCGGGACATCGCCCGGAGCCCCTGCAAGAGCCCCCCCAGGAATGAACACACACCTCCCAGAAAGGGCCTGGGGCTGTTCCCAAGCCACCGGCACCGTCACAGCAGTGTGTGTCCTCCACATCCCAGGGGATGAGAAGGGAAAGGAAAAAGAGGGGGAAAAGGGAAGGGGAAAGAAAAAGAGAAGGAAAAAGGGAGAGAGGAAAGGGTTGAAAAGAGAAAGAAAGGAGCTGAAAAGGGAAGAGGGAAGGAAGAAAGGGAAAAGGAGGGAAGGGGTAAAGGAAGGAAGGAGAAAAGGGAAAAGGAGGGAAGGGGAAAAGGGAAAAGGAGGGAAGGGGTAAAGGAAGGAAGGAGAAAAGGGAAAAGGAGGGAAGGGGTGCCAGCGGGCCCTACCATCCTCGGGGTGCCCCTCGGTGCTCAGCCCCTCACGCCCCACGTCCGCCGGCACCGCCGGCACCTTCTTGAGCCGCGTGTGGGACTTGCGCTGCCGCACCATGAACCCGCCGATGCCTGGGGGGCAGAGGGGGGGATCACAGCGTGCCCAGGAGGGGTCACAGCAGGGCCTGAGGGGGGTCAGGGCCTGGGGGGCACTCACCGGGCCGGTACGGCTTGCGCTTCCTCTTCTTGCACTCCTCGGGGTCCTCCAGCCCCTTCCCCGAGTCCCCGTCGGCGCCGACGTCGCGGTCGGGGCTGGCCGGAGCCTCCAGCTTGATCTCGCACTCCATGTGCTCCACACCCACTGCCACGGGGGGAGGACACTTCAGTGGGGTCCTCTGGCACCCCCAACACTGCACCCACCCAGCTCTCACGCCGGGAACACCCACCCTCAGCCTTGAGCAGCTCGTCGGTGTCCAGGTCACCGTCCTTCTTGTCCTCGGGGCCCAGGGGGTCGCCCCCCTCGAGCCCCCCATCCCCGTTGAGGGCGCCGGGGCGGCCCTTGCGCTGCCGCCGCTTGTGCAGGGGCGACAGGGTCAGGTTGCGCAGCACGGCCATGCCCGTCTCCGTCAGCCACACGCCCTCGAAGCGGAAATACTGCGGCTCTGGGGGAACAAACAGCACGTTGGGGACAAATGCCAGGGCTGGGTGCGTGGCCAGAAGCGGGTACGGCAGCGGGGAGCCCGTGGCACTGTCATGGCACCGCACGTACCCGGATCCTTGGCCTTGGCCATCTCCGCGGGAGGCACGGGCACTGTATAGGAAAGCAGAGGGGCAGGTGAGTCCCCACATCCCACAAATGTCCCCCAAGCCCTTCTCTGGGTTCCCTACACCCCGTGAGCTCACCAGGTTTGATCACGTAGGGCTGGCAGGCGCTGCAGTCGAAGCCTTCATCCGCAGCCTGCTCCACCTCCTCCTCAGTGAAGAGGCTGTCGCACGCCGCGTGCAGCCACCTGCGGGCAGGGGGACCTGTCACACACCACGGCACCCCCGGGGACCCCAAACTTTACAGAATCACAGAATATGCCAAGTTGGAAGGGACCCACAAGGATCATCAAGTCCAACCCTCAGCCCTGCACAGGACAACCCAAAATCCCGCCATGTGCCTGAGAATATCATCCCAACACTCCTTGAGCTCTGGCAGCCTTGGTGCTGTGCCGACTGCCCTGGGGAGCCTGCTGAGTGCCCAACCATCCTCTGGGAGAACAACCTTTTTCTAATATCCAACCTAAACCTCCCCTGACCCAACTTCAGGCCGTTCCCTCGGGTCCTGTCACTGGTCACCACTGAGATCAGACTGCGATGAGTCTCCCCTCAGCCTCCTCTTCTCCAGGCTGAGCAGTCCCAGCACCCTCAGCGTTGCTCACCGATCGCAGTGCCGGCACTGGATGAGCAGGTCGTCCTCCACGTACTTCTCGCGGCAGAAGGGGCACGCGACAAGGCTGGCACAGGGCGCGCAGTGGGTGTAGTTGTTCTGCCACTCGCAGTGGAACCCGGGGGACGCGGCCCCGCACTGCACACAGCACACACACCTGGGAAGGGAGGGAGGGAGGGAGGGGGGTCTGAGGGGTCAGCGCCGGCTCGGACGCCCCCTTGGACACCCCTTCCTGCCCCGCCACGCACCTCTTGCACTTCCAGCCGCCCTTGGGCACGGTCTGCAGCGGGGGGTCCAGGCAGTAGGTGTGGTAGCTGATGTCGCAGTCGTCGCAGAGCAGCAGGCGCGAGGGGTCCGAGGCTTTGCCGCACACCTCGCACACGATGCACTCCACGCAGCGCCAGCCCTTCAGCAGCATCACCTTGGTGATCTGGGGATGTGAGGGGTGGCAGCCATGTGAGCCCTGGGCGTGGCCACGGGGGTCCTTGCGCTCGGCGTGGCCATGGAGGACACCCGAGTGGCTCGGCATGGCCGGGGGACACGCCGGGCACGACCCTGTGTGTGTCCCATGGGGCACGGCCAGTCCCCGAGGGGCACAGTGTGGTGCTACGGGGACAGGGGTCCCAGGCCCCCTCCTCACCTTGCTGTTGACACAGTAGGGGTGGTAGCACTGGGAGCACTGGGAGCAGGCGAGGAGATGCCCCTCGGCCCCGCGCCCGAAGCTGCCGCACACCACGCACATGTCCTGGGGGGAGGTCAGGAGTGAGGGGACAGCAGCTGGCAGTGGGAGGGACACAGAGCCTGTCCCACCCCTTCTGTCTGTCTGTCCTGCCGTGCCCCAGTTACCTGCATGAGCACAAACTTGTCGGTGTTGGAGAAGAGGACGACCGTGTTCTGCATGGTGTCGTCATCGTCCTCGTCCTCCTCCTTGCTGGGCGAGCTCTCCACGTCGGCGAGCTGGGGACAGAGTGGGGGGCTCAGCACCGAGGTCCCCCTCTCTGTGCAATTTGGGGGGTACCAGGCAGTCTAGTGCTGGACTGGGGGACACAGGAACACGCAGACAGTAGACCCCCTCTCCAAGGGGAAGCTCCATGCCTGCCCTGGTCTTGTAGGGTGAAGCCCCCAGACTCAGTAAAACCCCAGGCAGCCACACCTCCCATGAGACCCCCCACCCACCCCACCCTCGAGGACTCCCAAACCTTTCTGAGGGACTGGGATGGCAGGGAAGGGGATGGGGGGAAACTCTTGGCCTTCACCCCTACCACCTAACAGCTGGGGACCCCCCTGCCCCCCACTCCTGCCCCAGCCCAGCCTTACTGCTAAAGTGTCAACGGACGAGGTGGTCGACTTCAGGCGTGCACGGCCCCGGCCCCGGCCCCCGTGGGACCCCCCTCGGGGGCGCCTCCGCCCAGGGAAGCTGCTGCTGCGACCCTACGGCCGAGGGGAGAGGGGGGGTTACAGTTCTGGGGGGTCCAGCCAGACCCCCATGCAGTGGAGGGGCACAGCCCCCATCCCAGGCCCGGCCCTCGCCTACTTGCCAGCCCGGGGAGGGGGTACGGCCCCGGTGGGGCCCTGAGGGTGGGGGGATCCCACTGAAATCCCCAGTACCTGCTTGACCCGGGAGCGCCCCGGGGAGCTGCGGCGCCGGCCCTTGTCCCCGTCGCCCTTGGCTGCCGGCTCGAACAGCAGCGAGTCGTCGGTCTCGGCGCCCAAGGGCAGCGACCCCCCGTCCTCCTTCTGCAGGCTGGCGTCGGCCGAGGCCGGGCCCAGCTCGGGGGACAGCGACCCCCCGCCCTCGGGGTCCGGGGAGCCCAGCAGCGGCTCCGAGCCGGGGAAGCTGCTGCTCGTGTCCCCCTGGCTCAGGTTGGAGATCTCGTTGAGGATGTCGGGCCGCGGGCGCAGGGCAGGGGGCTCGGGGCACCCCTCGTCCCCGTGCCCCAGCAGCTTCTCGCCGGCGGTGCACACCTCCATGGGGGTCTCGGGGCCCAGTTCCTCCGGCTCCAGGAGGAGGGGGGACCCCTTGGCTTCGGGGTCCCCCCCAGCCCGGCCTTCCTCCACCGCATCCTCCTCGCTCAGCGGCGGGGAGCTGCCGCTGGTGCCCTCCCGCTCCAGCCTCGGCGCCTCTTCCTCCTCCTCTTCCTCCTCCTCAGGCAGGCCCGGGAAGGGCCCCAGCTCCGGGGCTGGGCTGCCAGGGGGGGCATCTCCGGGGGGGCTGGCTGGGGACTCCCCCTCACCACCGGCCGTCTCCATCTCCTCGTCCTCGGGGGGCTCGGCGGGGGCCAGGGTGACGACAGGGGAGCCCAGGGGGGGTGGTGGGGAGCCGGGGGGCTCGGTGTCCATGGCGGTGCCGGGGCTGCCAGGGGGCTCGGGCAGGGCTGGGGTGGGAGGTTCGGGCACCTCGTCCTCCTTGGCGTCAGGGGAGGGGTCTGGGGGTCGCACGGGAGAGATGGCGCGGAGAGCTGGGGGGGGAAAGGGGGGACGGTGACATCAGAGCCCCCCCACCCAGAGACAACCATTCCCCCAACCCCAGTGTGCCCCGAGACCAACCTGGGGGAGCTGAGGGTGGAGGGGTCATCTCAGGGGGCAGCGAGGGCTCCGGCTCCAGCTCCATCTCCTCCTCGGGGGGCACCTCCGGAGCCAGGGCTGGTGCTTCCTCTGCCACTGCCACCTCGGGAAGGAGACCTGTGGGATGGGGACATGGGTGAGGGGGTGACAGGGGTCCCCTCCACCCCCTGTGCCACCCAGCCTGGGGCCAAGAGACAAGAACACACCCCCCCCACCGAGCTCCCCATGTACCCCAAAACAGGGGAAATGAGGGTCAGGCAAAGCCAGTGCTGCTGAGAAGCCCCCAGTGTGAGACCCCCACACCCACAGGAGAAAAAGGGAAAGGAGACAGAGTGAAAGGTCCCCAAATTACCTGGTGGCTTCAGGTCCTCCTCGGAGGGCAGCTCACTGGGGAGTGGCTCTTCAGGGGGCAGCTCATCAGGGGGAGGCTCTTCGGGGCTCAGCTTGTCGGGGGGAGGCTCTTCGGGGGGCAGAACTTCGGGAGGAGGTTCCCCAGAGGGCAACTCGTCGGGGGGTGGTTCATTGGGGGGCAGCTCATCGGGGGGCAGCTCTTCAAGGGGCAGCTCGCTGGGGGGAGACTTGGGGGGCGACTCATTGGGGGGCAGCTCGTCAGGGGGCGATTCGTTGATGGGCAGCTCCTCAGGGAGCAGTTCATGGGGGGGCAACTTCTCGAGGGGTGGGTTCTCAGGGGGCGGCTCACTGAGGGGAGGGATGTCGAGGGGCAGCTCATCGGGGGGTCGTTCACTGGGGGGCACCTCCTCGAGGGGGGGCCTGTCAGCGGGCAGCTCAGCAAGGGGTGGTCTCTCGAGGGGCAGTTCCTCAGAGGGGGGCTCCTCGGGGGGCAGCACGAGAGGAGGGGGCTCCTCAGAGGGCTGCACGTCAGGGGGCTGAATGTCGGGGGGCTGCATGTCAAGGGGCTGAATGTTGGGGGGCTGCACGTCAAGGGGCTGAATGTTGGGGGGCTGCACGTCAAGGGGCTGAATGTCAGGGGGCATTTCATCAAGGGGCTGTTCACAGGGGGGCTCTTCACTGGGGGGCACTTCCACAGGGGTCAGCTCGCCAGGAGGAGACCCGCCATCACCCGGGGTGGCCTCCTTGGGGTCCGGGGGTGCCTCCTTCGGTTCTGGGGGTTCCTCCTTGGGGTCCAGGGGTGCCTCCTTGGGGTCTGGGAGGGGCTGTGTCTCCTCATCACCCCCCACAGGCTCCAGCTCAGGTGGGGGGACGGGCACATCCGTCAGCTCGCTGCAGCTGGGGGGCTCCAAGCTGGGGGGGGACACCAGGTTAGGGGAGTGGGGATCAGGCCACCTGGTCCCCAGGGCTGCAGGACACATCCCCTCACCCACAAAGAGCCTGACGCCCCCCTATAACCAGCCCCCCATCCCCACTCACGTCTGGGCGGGCGACTCAGGCTGTGGTGAGTGTCCTGGTGCCACAGGGGTAGCGGCTGCAGTGCAGCCCCCCTGGCAGCCCCCACACACCGTGGACCCCTGGCAGCCAGGGTCGAGCCCCACAGGGCACCGGCCACACTCGGAACAGACCTGGCAGTTCTGGTGGGGGGAACAGAGGCGTGTCAGGGGGAGCAGGGAGGGGGCAGGCACCCCATACCCCACCCCAAGCGAGAGCAGGACGCACCTTGCACTTCCAGGAGCCGGTGGGGAGGCCCTGGCTGGCTGGATCCACGCAGAAGGTGTGGTAGCCCTTGCCACAGGCCCCACAGACCACCATTGTGGAGTCCTGGCCGGGCTGCCTGTGGGGGGAATGGGCACATGAGGGTGGGGACCCCTCCCTGGGTGCGTCCCCACTCCCCCCACGGCGGGGCTGGGGGCTCACCTGCAGGTTTGGCACGCTCTGCACTCGGGGCACCGCCAGCCCGAGCGCCCGTGGGGCGTCGGGGCCGTGTCCAGGCAGGCTCCGTGGAAGTGCTGCCCACAGCCCGTGCACAGCACCAGGTCCCGCAGGTCGCCCGGCCCGGCGCACACGTGGCACCGCGCGTCCTCTGCCAGGGGGAGACGGGGGATCAGGGCCACCTCCTCATGGGGTCCCACCCTCCTGGCACCCCGCAGGGGGGTGGGAGGGTCCCAGCACCCAGGGGGTCGTCCCCAGCCCGCACGCACCCATCTCCAGGGCCTCGGCCACGTGCTCGGGGCAGAGCAGCCGCAGGGTCTTGGTGGACTGGAAGCAGCCGCTGGCGGCGGCGCAGGGGAAGTGGTAGAGGCGGGAGCAGCCGGCGGCCGCCCGGCACGGGATGGTGGCCCCCGCCCGCCCGCAGCGTTCACATTTCTGAGGGGACAGGAGCCTGGGTGGTCAGTGCTGCTGCGGGGGGGGCCCGGCCGAGCCCCCACAGCCCCCCCCGGATCCAACCGCTCACCTGTGAGATCCCTGAGAAAACAGCTCTGGCCACGGCGGCCGCCTCCGGCCCCGCGCCGGCCGCCCAGGCCGCGCAGCAGCGATGCACCCAGCAGTGCCCTGTGGGGAGGGGGCGTCAGGGACAGCCTGGGGACACCTGGAGCGGTGGGACGGGGACCCCGGTGCCGTGATCCCGCTCACCTGTCGGCTCGAAGAGCTGCGCCGGGGTCAGCCCCTCGGAGAAGCCGATCTGCACCGGGTTGTCGCCCGCCAGCTCCGGCTCCGGGGGGGGTTGGCCGGACCCCGGGGGGGGCTGGCCAGGCCCCTCGGGGGGGTTGTTGCCCACCAGCCGCTCGGGCCAGTCGGGCACCGGCTCGAAGCGCTGCAGCTCCCACTGCCCGTGCGGGCTCCAGTCCCCACAGTTGCAGAGGGCGCAGCGGCGGCCCGGCGGGCTGGGAGGGGGGAAACTTGGGGTGTCAGGGACATTTGGGATGCCCCCCCACCAGCTCCATGCCACCCCTGTGCCCCCCTGCCCTCACCTGCCAGTCTCAGGAGGTCCCTTCGTGTCCGTGCTCTCCGGCTCCGGCCCCGCGGAGGCTCCTTCGGGAGGTTTCAGGGGGTCCCCCTCCGCGCTGCCCATCTCCTCCGAGGCCACGGCCCCATCAGCTGCGGGGAGAGGGGGTGTCACCACCGCGGGGGGGGTACAGGGACAGGGACAGCCCCCCCAAATCTGGCCCTGCGCTCACCTGGCGCAGCCGAGTCCTTCTCCTCGCTGGGCGCCTTCTGTTCGTCCATCCTGCCTCCGGCGTCCCTGGGGGGGCCGCGGCTGTAGGGGGGGGGAATCTGTCAGCACAGGGACATTGGGGCCTTCCCCGGCCCCCCCGCAGCCCCCCGTGACCGCACACCCAAAGGACAGGGCAGCCCCTTCCTGTCACTGCCCCAAGGCAAGTTTGTGGGGTCCCAAGCTGGGAGTGTCCTCTGGGAGCAGATCCTGGCTCCCTGGGGGTCCAGGAGACCCCCCCACACACCACAGGGGTCCTCCCTGTCCCCCATCACACCGTTCCTGGGGGGAACCCTCCAGGTTCCCCCCAGGGCTGGGTGGGGACAGTGCAGAGACACCTCAGCACATCTGAGGCAGCCAAACCCCCAGAGTGACCTCGATTAAACCCCTCGGGGGGGTGGCTTGGTGACTCCGGCTCCACTGAACACTGGGACTCCTGAGGACCCCCAGGACCCTCCCAGGAGCACACCCAATGCCTCCCACGCGGGGGCCATGAGGGGGGATTTGGGGTGCAGCATAAACCAGGGTCCCCTCCACCGGCACCTGCCCATGCTTCAGTTTCCCCAGGCCCAGCACAGACCATGCGCAGCACCGGGGAGTCCCGGGATGGGTCTGGGGCGAGGAGAACCCACCCCAAAACACGACGCCCAAAGACGGAAGGGGGTCCAAGCCCCGATGTGCAGCCACCCCCTCCCACCACTGCTTCACGTGCACCCCAAAAACCCAGAGGGGCCCCGGCCGGCTGCGGGGGGTGGGGGGGCAGCAAAGGGGACCCCAAACCCGACCATGAGCCACACACGGGGAAGGGGAAGATCTGGGGGGGGTCCCGCGGGCCCGGGGTGGCCTCAACCCAGAGCCCGGGGCAGCGGGAAGGGGAGGAACGCACCGGGGCAGCTCCGGCACCCCAAAACCCTGCGAGGGCGCGGGGGGGACGGAGGGAGCCCCCCGCGGGGTCCCGGCCACGGGGTAGGGGCCAACCCACCCCGCAACCCCCCCGCTCCGGTTCCCGGTGGTCCCGGGGGGATTCGAGCCCCCCCGGAAAGGCCCCGAGCCCTTTGGGGGGGGGGGATCGGCCCGCGGCCCCAGGGAGTCCGAACCACCACGCGGGGACACCCCCCAACCCTCCCCGGTGCCCTCGGGCCGCGCTCTCCCCGCTCTCCGGTGCGACAGGTGGGGGTCGGGCCGGCCAGGCCCGGAGCCCCGGCCCCGCCGCGGCCTACGCGGGCACCGGCACCGGGCCCCGCGCGCCGGGCCCGGCCGTACCCCCGCCTCGGCCGCCCGGGCCCCGCCGCTACCGGGCACAAAGGCGGAGGGGGTGGGGGCCGCGCTCTCCGCGCCGGGCCCCGGCCAGGCCTTACCGGGCAGCGGCGGAGGCGGCGCGGCCCGAGCCCCGCTCGGCCGCGGGGGCCGCTCCTTCCGGGGCCGCCGGGGCCCGTCCCGCCCGCGCGGGCCCCGCGGCGGGGCCGCCCCCCGCCCCCCGCCCGGTGCTCACCCCCCGCGGCCGCCCTACGCCGACGGGCCTCGGGGCGCGGGGCGTTCGGTGCTCCCCGGCGCGGCCATTTCCAGAGGAAAGTAGGTCCCGCCGCCCGCCCCCGCCCCGCCCCGCCCGCCCCGCCGGGGCCGCCGCCGCGCTGGGTCCTTCGGGGAGACGGGGGTGAGGGCGGGGGGGGACCGCCGCGGACCGGGGCGGGGGGGGGGGGGGGGGGGGGCCCCCCGCGGCCCGGGGCGGGGGGGGGGGGGGGGGGGGGCCCCCCGCGGCCCGGGGCG